CTTTATCTCTCTCGTTATCAAGGCAAATTGACCGCGAGATGGCGGTGTATACAAAATAACGAGATACTCACCCATCGTTGCAAAATGTAATCTTTTCACAAAATTCGGCCAAACCGCCAAATATAGTTTGGCCATGACTTTTTATATGTTACGGCCAGGCGAATTTTATACGGCCAGATTTGAGAATTTTGCCGTGAAAACGGCAAATGGCAACCCTGATACTCACTGTAAAATAAGCCAGCATCGTCGGTCATTTCTTATACGCTGCGTCGCTTGCTTGTTAATTGATTCAATGGTGCTGCCTCTGGCGAATAGAGCGTTCAACTAAAATAGCATTAGGCTGCATTAGGAGCACTGCCATAGAAATAATATAGATAACTTATAGGTTATTTCTATGGATAACTTATAAAGTATATTATAACATCTATCTATACTATAATGAGGCTAATCTTGTGTGTCAGTATGTTTGTTTGACCTCGCTTTTCTCTGTGATTTTTCACTCAATCGCCGCTAACTGAAGATATTTCAGAAATCACCACGTCTTGCAGATGGTTCTGGCTGAGACAAAAATTTAAAAAAGTTAAAATGTCAAAAAAATTGGTAAACGTCAAAATTCAATCATCACGTACGTGGGAATTATCTCGCGCGTCTTGCCCGCCGCCGTAGCGAAGTCGGTAAGGCGGATCGGTTTCATAACCGAGATTGCGGGTTCAGATCTCAGCTGGAAAAAATTTCTCCTTTACTTTTATACTCTTTAGTATCTACTTCTGCCACTTTCAGCGTTAATTTCAAAATGTAAAAAATAAATGTTACTACACTCATTAACATTTTTTTTTACTATTATTATTATTTACTACTATATTATTTATTATTATTTTCATGTTCTTTATATTTTTTTTATTGTTTGGGATTGGATGGGATGGGATATGGGATGGGGTATACTGCGATGGGATTGCATCGGATCACATGAGATGGCATAGGATGGGATGGGATGGGATGAGATAGAAGAAGATGTGGTGGGATGGCATGGCATGGCATGGCATGGGTGGCATGGGATAGGAGGGGATGGCATATGACATGGCATGGCATGGCATGACATGCGATGGATGCAGGGGCGAGTACAGGGGGGGGGGCCAGGGTCCAGACCCCACCACCCCCTGCTCGCGCAGAAAACGATCTAATGGGGTCTAATTTCACCATTTTTCTGGGGGAAGGCCCCAGACCCCCCCCTTTTGAGTGCTCGCAACTATGGATTACGGTTAGACCCCCCCCCCGGTCAAATCCTGTAACACGCCCCTGGGATGGATGCATGGATGGATAGATAAATAGATAGATAGATAGATTTTGCGGTATTTTCCTTTAACCAAGTGGTCACGTCACCAACTGAGCACTTTTTCTACTGCTCAATTATAGAATTGCGCTCTTTGTTTCTTCCAAAATGTTTTTTTGTTTCTGTTTTTTTAGTTGCATGAAATATTTAACTTCAACTGTGTCACTTACACGAAGTTTATTTTAAGGCACGATTTGGTCGTTGTACGGGTATTAGTCTGCTAGTACAGGTAAATGCTGTAAGTGAAGGCATATCAGATGAGACGGGATACTAGAGAAGCGTTGCTGAAAGAAGGTGTTGATCCGAAGCGCTGAGCGCAGAATCTGCGCGCAGTTTCGCGGCAAGGCGCACTCGACCACGGGAACGTCCTACGACAGTATGCAGCGCTGGCAGCTATGGATCCGTGCGCCGAATGCATAGGCCGGCGCACGAATCCATAGCTGCCAGTGAACAGTCGAGAATTTTACCGGGAATACAATGAAAGAGCTCAGGCATGTTGAGCTGCTGTTGTTTGCAAGTTCAATAAAATATCATAATAAGTGTCAACAGATTCTACTTCTACACTGTGTTGTATAAGTTTTATTATGAATTGTATTTTATTATGCATCAGTGGCTTCATAGTAACGAGCGGCATGCAGCTGCAGCGGATACATAAGCTGGGTTTTATAATAATACATGCGGAAAAATACGCCTCTATTCATGTAAATAGAAATGTTGACTTATATATAAAAGAATGAGGAAAGTATAATACAAATATTGTCAATAGGTCCATAGCTCCTGATATTATCTGTCAATTGTGCGTGTTAGATAACATACTTATGTTACGCCAGACAACTTGTGGCTAAGGCTAAAAAATAAATTTTGTTGAGGAAACGAATTTTTGTGACTTCTTGAAAAATGCACGCACTGAGCGACGCACACACACACATACAAACACATACATGCACCCATACAAATGTCTGTGCCAGCCTGCGTGCGTACGTACGTGTGTCGGTGTGTGACTGCGTGCGTTCATACATGTATACGCACGTGTGTGCGTATTTGTGTGCTTCGTAGTACTACAGTAGCTATGTGCTTGCGTGCTTGGCTGCCTGTATAGTATAGGTACGGGCGTGCGTACGTGCAGTCCGTCTGTGCGTACCTGCGTGCGGGCGTAATCATTAGAATGTGTGGCGGACGCATGAGCGTGTACAGCGAACTGTGCGATCAGAAAGCATATCCACACAAAGCAGCTAAACGTATGCACGCACGCGCACGCCTGGACGCACGCGCATAGGCACGCTCCGCAAGGCACGTGCCGCGGCGCTTGCATGTAGGCGTACACGCACGCCCCGCACGCACCTGCACATGCACCATACATGGAAGATGCGCGCATGTGATACGCGTGTATTCTAGATGCTACACGTGCACATAAAGCATAGATATCCCGTGTACGCACGCAGAGGAAGGCACGCAAATCGCGACGGCCACCGCATGTCGTTTTCTCACGATGACCATCAAGGTAACTGCGAGCAGGCGAGTTGCAAGTTTTTCTGCGAAGTCGCAAATCAACAGAACAGCAATGGAGGGCCGAATGTCATCAGACACAAGCGATAAGAGAGAATAAGAGCGGAGTTTTTGCTATTAGGCAGGCACGTAACAAAATAAGCAGACAATGTAATACACTAGTAAAGATCGACAATGAGTATTCAGCGTAAGGCCAAGATTTGCGTAGCGGGATGAAACCAGAAGAGAACAGTAGATACAAGAAATGAAGATGGCACAGATTTGACTGACATATAGATGCCTAAGCGCTGAACGCGCGGATGAGCGCGCGTTCCGCGGATATGCGCCGCGACGCCGGCGCGATATTTCAGTATGAAGCGCTGTCGCAGTGGAGACGTGGCCATATTCCGAGGCCCGCGCACGTTCTCACAAGCGGTCAGCGGCAATGTTGTAGTTTAGAAGCATCGACAATGCTCGTATATTGGACGATATTCTAGAAATTACAGTTATAAGTATAATATTAAAATCGCGTCAGTCAATGCTCGAGTTAGCACAACAAAAAGTTCATTCTCGCATTAACATATTGGCTTATGTTTCCTAGACGATGTACAGTTCGGAGGAGCCTGGGTCGGCTTAGCCAGATTAGCTGAATCAAAATAGATTAGAATTTACTATATATGAACAAAACAATATATAGTTATATAAATTCAAAACAAGAAAAGGATCGAGGGAATTTATAGGCAACCAAGTAATAAAAAATCACAAATTATTCATACTAGGGGATTTAAATATAGAGCAGGTATATAACGCTCACTGATAAGCGAGTCCGAATGAAAATGTATTATTATTATGAATTATTATAATAAAATCATTTATTGATTAGCGTCTTCCGGTCGTACGAACCTATAACATTTACAAACCACACCACACAGCGCCGGCGCCCCACCCCCCGCCCGCCCCACACCCACCCCCCCCCCCCAAAAAGAACAAACAACACCACCCCCCACAAAAAAGACACCAACACACCGCCAAATTGTTTGGTTTAATGTGGTTTATAACTCCACAAAGTTACAACTTCAAACGGCATCCAGACCAGCGAGGTGGAGCTTGCCACAAACGTCTACGCGTAGCCTCGCGCTGCTAGCAAGTGCCAGCGACAAAAAACCGTTACGCAACTGCTGCGTTGATCGAATGACACTACTGAATCTCGAAGCCATTTTGCGACAGCTTGCTGCCGTGAACACTTAACTCACATAGCGTGATTACGTTCAATTATTATGGCAAAAGAGCAAAATGTGTGGACAAATCATACTATAAGACAGCAATGAGTTGAATTACTGCGAATAACAAATGCTTTTACCCTGACTGACGCGCTCTGTTGACTTGCGAAGCGATGAAATGACCAGATTTTCTTCTCTTTGATGCGAATGCATCGGCACGGGCATTTCATTATTTACGAAAAAGTCAACGGGCTTGCAGTTACGGTCAGGCAGTCAGCTCAAGTCGGTTGCACGCCCCATTCCATGCAATAACATAAGCGGAGGCTTATTGTGCTACAGCATATGCGGAAATGAAGAAGAACTTAGCACTGTGCGCAAACAGCGTGTTTATCTCGTATTTGGCGCCAAACTCTATCGTATGAAAACCGTTTAGGCCTAAGACAGATGCCCTAGTTCCTGAGATCGGCGATCGTGTCGAATGATATGGTACTCACAAAACTTTGATCATTTAAAAGGAGGCAGGCCAGTGCATGTTGTTGGAAGGACACAAAGTGTCATTTGAAGGCGCGGCAGGGCATTTTCTCTCGGGTATCGCTCACCTTTTGTTTCGTCGAGACTGTGATCGTAGCACGACAATTATAACGTAGTAGATTTAAGTAACATGTATAGCAAGCGAAAGTATTACATAAGGTTAAGGTAGCATGTAGCGTTCTACTGCAATGACTGTCAATGAAGACGCTTTACAGCCCAAGGGTATGTAAAGAGATTGTATGAGAAAGAAAGTGCTTGGTATTGTTGCAATTAGTTTCTATAGATATATAGTTAGCAACAGTAACTTTTAAAAACCTTGTTTTTGAAGCGATCAGATCAGACACTGTACACGCATTAAGCGGTGACAAGTAAACACACACGAGACGACATGCGGTTCAACATCGAGATAAAGGAAGTCATTAGACACAAGAGACAGGAATTAATTACAATTTCACGAGAAATAACGCGATGACATTGCCTTTAGCATTTCAAGTTACTTTACAATAAAACTCACAATGACATTAGGGGCAAAGGCTATTTTTCTAGCAGATAAATTGGAAGGAACAACAATAAATCGTAACAACTGTATGGCACACTCGAAACCTAATGGCTGCATTGACATAAGCGCAAGCAATAACTGTGGTAGAGGTATGCTTTAAAATTTTAAAAATTCAGGGGATACATACTACTAGGACATAATTTTGATGTTTGCCACTGTAAAGCAAGAAGAGCGTCTTAAACGTACTTATAACATAAATAACGAGAATTAAGGCTACAAGGTTAGTAGACATACCAGTCGTCCAATTTTATAAAACATTGGTGTCCGTTTGTTTATTTATTGTGTTATTCCATTAATCTATGCGTTTAATTGCTTAATTTCCAGAACTAATGAAAATATAAAGCAATTAAACGAAAATGTTGTTAGTGACGATGGAAGTTATCTTTCGTGGCTTTTCATCCTTACATCTAATAGGTCTACGTTGTATTGCAGTAAATACAGGTCGGCACGACCAATTGAACACTGGGACTTGCTGATCGTAGCACGAAAATTCCTACGATATAACATTATCAGCCGTACACATATATAACCAAAGCAAATATATGACAAAGCGTTATAGTAAGAACTATCTATCATGCAATGACGTCAATGAAACTACTGCTAACCGAATTACCATTGTTGTTTGGACACTGTAGCAGGCATGAGCAGAGTGACAATAAACACACATAGAGGACATCGCTTTAATCGAAGATATAAAGAAACTTATTAGGCCTTACTTTCCTTAGACTTATTAGGTCTTATTGCATCCTCGCAAACTTTAAATGTGCTGTTTTCGTATTTTATTTGAATTTTTGCTCACGCATGACACAATGGCTACACATGAGATGTGCACCCACATATATTTACTTTGCAAAGGCAAGTGAAAAACATGTTCTAATTTACGGAATAAGGTGAAGAGGATGGAACACAGCGACTCATATTTTTCAAGTAATGTCGTTAATTAAAGATATATATAGTATATTATATTATATATATATCATATTATGTTATTACGCGTATAGGTATACGGAATAGATATATAGGTATGGGGAATATAAATATTTTAAATAATTTTTATATTTTAACTGAAATAGTGTACCCGTTATTAATAGTATAAATCTGCCGATCCGATTAGAATTTGGCCGAATTTTGGCCGATATTGAAAAAAAGTTTGGCCGTGAGATGGCGTGTGTTTGGCCGTGAATTCTGTCGACTATCTGGCTATCTGGCTATCTGGTGAGTATACGGGGATTTTGTTCAAACTCGCATGTTATGGTAGAAAGCTGTTAGCTTTGTTTCGACCGACTATTTTACTTTTTTGTAGGTTTATATATGAACTAGTAATTGTCTGCTAACATAAATCTGTATGAACCATACTGGTTTACTATCTTATCTTATATTGCTCAGACTGATATTTCCTGCTCTAACGCCAAAAACCAAAATGGCGATAGCCTACTGTTTTAGCCGCACATTCACAGATCAACATTATGCGTTGTCTACTAATCTTTAGCGTAAATTTACGCATCACCAATAGTTATTAGTATATATTGTGCACTGAAGAATAATCTTTCACAATTCGATTTATTTTGCCGTGTGATGAACGAAGACAAATAGCATCACTATCACTGATACTATCATCAGTATTGATCAGCCTAGCTGAGTAGCTCTAGTACTATAGCCCGCAGGATCGCTGCCCTGCGGCAGCGATCCTGCGGGCTATAGTACTAGAGCTATGATCAGCCACACTACTCACTAGGCCTAGTCACTACTGACACTACTAGGCCTACTCACTAGGTGGTACAATAAATTGAATAATGTAACACAACAGGCCCGGATGGGGCTGGCTACTCTTGTTAGGTTACATTATTGTATCTACAACCACGCCACCGACGCAGGCACGTGGAACGGTTTAATAATAATTAATATAATATTAATAATAAATAATCATGAAATGTATTTACTACCATGCCAGGCATGGACCCATTGACACTGTCATTTTGAAATCTATGAGGAAGAGGGACCACTTGGCACTTGTTTCAAAGGGCCAGAATTCTAAAACGCCTGTTAGTCGGTCTAGATATCACAGTAAAAAAAAATTGTCTCCCAATTTAATCGTATACTCCATCGAAATTTTTTAAATAATATTGCAGGGGTAGAAATTAACTTTTGAACACAGGAGTCAAAATGAGGGAGGCCGCGGAAAAATTAGGGAGTTCGCAGACGAGGTTCAAAATTAAAGATATTATTAATAACGCATACATGTGCTTATTTTTAAAACGATCATTGCGAGAATTTTGCTCAGAAAAACTAAATATAGCTGAATATAGTCTCACCTGACAGTGAAAATATCACTGATTACACCAACATTCAAAACACCAATATTTTATGCAGTTATAGGATAGAAAAATTGATTTGACCACATCATACCAGCAATACATTTTTTCGAGTCAGGACTTTCAAAAATCACAAATGGCATCTCAAACAAGCGAACATAATTAAAACAAAGGGGCATCTATTTGTGTGTGATAAGTATTCTCGCTGGCGGTACGCAACGAGGACTTCTCTCTCCGTCTTCGTTATAGTCCCTAGGACTTTTGAAGACTAATATTTATGAGGTTACAACTTACACTCTTATTTGTGTTATGCTACTATGCACCTCTGTGTTTACATCTGACCAAAAATATCTCCGGTGCGATTTTTGCATTACTGTACCCTTGTTGACGTCTCGCGTACCGCGAGAAAGTGCGAGACATGACAGCGAAAATCAACAAGAGAACGCAAAATTGTAATCGTGCATGATTTTGTCTTTGCATTCGCGTTACTAAGACATTTTATTGTTATTTCAAACAATTACTGTTACTCAAGCAACAACAGTAGGCATCATGAGAGTGAGAATAAACACTAAAAAATGCTGAAAACAACTCGCAATGATCGCTTTAAGATTCATGCGCTTGCACGTCTGCCAAATTTTCTCTGGACATTAGCTGAAAAATACTGTAATTCCGTGAGGTCGGCCGTTCTAATGCACTAGAACGAACTAATTAGTATGGCAGCATTTTCAGGGAGTTACACCGACTCCTGCATAATCAAATCAGGGAGTCCGACAGTAAATCAGGGAGTATTTGACTCCGGACTCCTGCTAATTTTGCACCTTGTATTGTCTGTGATCATGATTCTTAAAAAATGTAATGTAAAAAATGGGAAACTGGTATCCCACCCATCTGGGCTTCTCTGTCATCTGTAGTAACTAATGGTATTTCATGTGAGTCTCCTGCATCGAAAGCTTGTTTTTGTTGAGTGATCAATTCAAGTTGGGTTTCTCTACTTCTTGTGCAACCCATTTTCCATGTTCAAACTATAAGTTCCCCCTGATGAGCAAAATTGGGTGCCAAACAATCCTTTTACCCAAAATAGCCATTTCCCTAAGTGGTGTGTGTTTTCGGTGCGTAAGAACTTATCTCCACATAAGGTTGCTGGTCCTGATAAGGTGCCTGGTTTTATTTTGCATCATAAAAAATGTAAAATTCTTTGCATTACCCGCTCCAAATCACCCTTGACTTTTACTTACTCGCTGTACCATAAATATCTATCTCTTACCCCTACTTACAAATATGTGGGTGTTATTATTAATAGCGATCTTCACTGGAATGCCCACATTGATTACATTGGTACGGCGTAACCTTAGCTTTGCCGATTCTAAAACTCGGTTTCTGTTCTCCCCATATTAGAATATCTTTCGCCAGGCTGTTGCCCCTTTAAGCGGGGGACACACTATGCGAATTTCGCTGCGATCAGATGCGCAGCGAAATTTGCTGCGAAAATATTCGCACTCGCATGCGATAAATTGAGCGGACACGCGATCTACTGTCGCCACACGGCTCCAACCATGGCTCCAACAGTCATGTGATCGCTGGTGAAAGATAGTGGCGATACACGTATACACTGATACACGTAATTACTGAATAGCATACTGATCAATGATTCGCTGCATTATAACATCAGCCGGTTCTATTTTTGCTTCAATGGACACACAGGGCACGGAATTACGCACGGAAATACGCAATTTTTTTTGGCACCGGTCCAGAGGGCTGGTAACAGCAATTTTTTTACCAGCCCTCAACATAATTTAGCAGCCCTCACAAATTTTGTTTGTAAAATCAATGCCATGTTTTACGCTTGCATTCTCAATTTTAAATTTGTAAAATGTTGATAAATTATGGCGTGATATCCTTCAGGTAAAACTGTAATGTAGGCTATTTGCTCATTAATGCTATAAATAAAAATGTAGGTACTCGCCAGGGCTCAATTTTAACGGTCGTACGACCGGATTTTCTCTCGGGCAACTACAAATTGCTTCCGTGGTTGTCGAGTGTCTAACCTCTATAAAAAAAATTTATTCGTAATGCGCGCGTTCATTTTACATACGGCCAGGGTTGCACAATACGCTGCAAACGTACATGTCTAGACACATTGTCTGGCTTGCTTGCTACAATGTATAACATCACGTGTTTAACAACACATTAGGCGCGTTCACACACAAGAAAAACCGCGATGCTAATCGCGATGAAATACCGAGATAATTGTGTCGTTGTTCACACAGGCGGAAATATCTCGCTAATCGCCGAGCGGGATAATTCTATTAATCGAACTGCGCATGCTCACTGCCGGAATGATGCTCACTGCGCATGCTCAATGCTCACTCGCTTGGAATGATGGGATAGAAAATACCGGGATTATTTGCGCGAGCGTTCACACACACAAATAATCGCGCTAATTCCAAATAATCGCAGTCAAAAGTGCGATTTGGAGCGCGATGCTGATCGCAATTATTAGTGAGTATTATTGCGTTCACACTTGTAATAATCTCGGTATTTCGATCGCGATGCAAAAACCGGATTTGCATCCCGCTTATTCCGCCAGTGTGAACGCGCCTAATGTTCGTCGTTAATTTTCAATTTTTACTCATCTGTGACTTGCACCAGTGTTGAATTTAGTAATGTTAGTAGTGTTAGTTAACTTAATGTAAATGTTATGAAATAAATTCATGCAACTTTTAATTACTATTATTATTACGTCATTGATTACCCAGCATCATTTACCACAGATTACCAATATTTTATTCTCTTCATATAATGAGTGTGAAACAAAGCGAATGTGCCATTGTCTGCCTGTCACTGGCATACGGACAAAAGTACATGATTAGGCCTTTTGCTTTACAGCACTGAGCATCACGTGAGCAGAGCGCATGCAGCACATGTTTAAATAATATCCGGACAACCAAAACTCTTGAGGGACAACCATATGCTACTCTCTTGGTTGTCCTCCGGACAACCCAAAAAAAACCTTAAAATTGAGCACTGCTCGCTAACACGGCTGAAACCACCGGCTCAGAGTGCCGGTGTTTTGCCATTGTTACCGACCCTCCAAATAATTTGCCAGCAGATGCCGGTGGGCCGGTACTAATTTTGCGCCCTTGACACTCGATGCAAATCTGTACGCAGCGATAAAAATTCGCAGCGAAAATATCAAACATATTTGATAGCTGCGGATAAAATTCGCCATCGCTTGAGACTTGAAATCAAGCTAGTACGTGTCATTTCTTAATGTTTATTAATTTCAGACTTCTAGCCAAGACTAAACACAAGCTGTATTATAATGGAGCAGAATAAGTATGTTGTGTGTGATGTCTGCAAGGAACAGTTTTCTGATGTGGCTACATTCCCGGAGCGCAAAAAGAACAGAGACACATTTGTGTGTGGCTTGTGTACTGCAAGATTTCATGTGTGTGAAGACTTTAGCTTGCACAAATCAAACCATGCAGGCGCAGGTAATGTAGTTAGAAAATTATGTCAAAATATTAATCATTTTCAAATCATTATCTGTTGTCACTGCAGTTTTCTGTGATGGCCTAAGATTGTGCACAAATTAATAAGAGAAAGAATTAATTAATCAAAACCAATTTTTACAGAAATGATATTATTTTCACTATCTATTTACATATAACATTGATGAAATATCGATAAGGAAAACAGAGCATAGATTTACTAAATTATTTGGTAGATATATTGGATTTAAACTAACTAAATATAATATGAAGTGAGACATTTTTATGTAACTCACTTGTGCGTATTCTGTATTACACTATATATATGAATTACAGTTGTTGGCCATGACTCTGATCATCCATCGGTAAATATGGACCAATCTAGCAGCACCAATGCAGGTAAAAAACAGTGACACGGAGCCATTTTATCCAGAAAGTTGTTTTACAAGTTCTGTGATGCCTATAGTAATCTTTCAACTATCTATCTATCGTTTATGCCATGGTGATGCCTAATGTAGCAAAGATGGTTTCTCATTGCTGTATGTCATTTGCAAGCCTTCACATGATTTCCCTCCTGCATCTAGCCAACCTAATTTCTGTCTGAACTACTTCACTATGCTGTAATGAGGGATCTTACGAGTCCCTTTGCGCGAGCACAGTCTAAAAAATTCTGTCTTCATTTGTAAATACATGTCCAGTGGTAGAAATTAACTTTTGAACATGGGAGTCCAACGGACTCCCTACCCTCAAAAAGAGGGAGTCCGCAGTCTGAGGTTCAAAATAAAAGATATTAACAATAACGCATGTGCTTATATTTAAGATTCATGGGGTTGCACGTCTGCCAAATTTTCTTTGGACAATAGCGATGCTTTTCCATGGACGCGTCCGCATATTAATTAAATTCCATCAACGCTTGGCATAGCACCACTCGATCAAACAGCTAGCACAACCCCACGACGATTCTGTCTTACGAATCGTTACGCCAGTATAGGCTTTTAGGACAGAATTTTAACGGTTTATCTTATATAACGCACACATGCA